GAAACCCCAGGACTGAGCCACGGTAGCAGGACACTGCAGAGGTGGCAGCAGCTTCCAGCAGAGTCCCCTGGTCCCTGCGAGTCCATGTGGCACCAGCCGAGGGCTTAGCACGCAGAGTTTGCGGGACTCAGCCTTGGTAGCAGCGTCCCGATGAGTCCCCTGGTCCCAGCCAGTCCGTGCGGCACCAAGGGCTTAGCAGGCAACAGAGTTCGCAGGACTCAGGCGGGGTCACAGCGGAGGCGGCAGCAGCAACTTCCCGTCGAGTTCCCTGGTCCCTGCCCAGGCCGCTGCGGACCATGGGCTCCCGGCCCCCTCTCACGTCCTCGCAAGCCTACCAGGATTGAGTCGGTGTCCCTGGTTATGTGTTCCTCCAAGGTGTCTTTCGGTTGCCCCTTCCTGACGTTTTGCCTTTATTTTCGTTGTAAATCCAGTTTGGTCCTGGGAGATGGTCTGTGTAGCTCCATTCACTTTGCCGCCATTTCCCTCTCTCCTGTGACTTAGTTTTTAACAACAGGAACCAACAAACAAAAAATTCTAAAGTTGTGAGCTCAGCCAGTGTGGCTCAGTGGTTGAGCATCGACCCATGTTCCAAGAGGTTACCGGATTGGTTCCCGGTCAGGACACATGCCCAGGTTGTGGGCCAAATCCCCAGTGGGGGGCATGCAGGAGGCGGCCAGTTGATGTTCTCCCTCATTGATGTTTCTATCTCTTTCTCTCTCTTTCTTCCTCTCTCTAAAATCAATAAAGAAAAAACTATGTTTTTTTAAAAGAAAAAAATTAAAAATAGAAAAAGCTTATAAAATAAGGATATAAAGAAAAACATTTTTGTACAGCTGTACAACGTGTTTGTGTTTTAAGCTAAGTGTTTTTACAAGAGTGGAAATTTTTTTTAATTCAAAAGTTTATAAAGTAAAAACATGATAATAAGTTAAAATTAATTTACTATGGAAGAAAAATATTTTCTTGGCACGGCAGTGCTGTCTAAGCGTAGAGTTTGTCCAGGCTTCAGTACCGCACAGTCCTGTGCTGGGCCTCACGTCACTCCCCACTCCCTCGCTGACGCGCTCAGAGCAGCTCACAGTCCTGCGAGCCCCACTCTTGGCCTGTGCCGTATACAGGTGAACCACTTTTATCTTCTATATCATATTTTACTGTACCTGGTTTATGTTTAGAAATGTTTAAATACACAGAAATCGCTGTTAGAGCTGCCTACCATTTTCAGTACAGTGACGAGCTGTACAAATTTACAGCCTGGAGTGGGCTCTACCACACAGCCTGGTGTGTAGTTGGCTATACTGTCTAGGTTTGTGAGTCTCTGTGACGTTCACACCATGCTGAAATCGCTGGACACTGCATTTCTCAGAACATATTTCTGTCATTAAACGATATGTGACTGTACCTCTTGCTATCCGTTTTTTTTTTTGTTTTTTTTTTCCTGATAGAACTCCTTACCCATGAATCTGCCTCACCCTCAAATTTTTTGACAGCACTTGATGGAGTATACAAGAAAAAATAGTGTGGGAAAGATTGAGATTTTGATCAAGCAAACTGTTCCACCACTCTAGTTCATAGATAAGGAGAGTGTAAGATAACATTCCAAGGAAATTGCCCAAGGTCATATTGCAGAGTGCAAGGGTGATTCTATGAAACAAGGAGTTTTACCTAACCAGGAGGTAGGGTGGGGAGGGGCTGCAACTGAGTGGTGTACCTTTTTCACCCAACAAGCTTTGAACCATCTTTTGAGCTGAGAAAAGCTTTTGAGTTCTAGAATACTTCTCTCCATTCATTCTCATTACCATAATATTTTTTCTCCTAACCTGTCTTCCAAAGAAAGAAAGTGATGGGAAGACTTCAACAGAGAGCAGAGAGAAGTGAAGAACCACTGTGGGTGTTGGTTGGTTGGTTTGCTTGTTTTGCCCTATCTCAGCCACTCTGTAGACTAAAACTAACTCCACCTCCATACATATGGGCGTTAATTGCAGTGTTCGGTCAGTTTATTTTCAGTAAATTCTCTATAACAAATAATTATATCACAAATAAATTCTCTCTGCCTATTTATGAAAGTCTGCGTTGGAAATGAGTAGGCAGGCTCCACTTACCAAACAGCAGATACATTTCACTCTCCTCAGTCTTGACACTTAAGTCATTTAAACCCTGAATGGCATAGTTGTAAAGCAGGGATGGGATGCTGTAACAGGGTCTAGAGAGAGAAAACTAGAGTCAAGTTAATGGATATATTTAGTTTGAGAATCACAACACTCACAGGTCTGGCTGATCTGCTTGCTAGATCAGGAACAAGTAAACATGGATTCAATGGCCAGATGTGTTCCCTCTCCAGCTGGCTCCATGTGGAGACATGCTGGCAGGGCAGAGGAAGAAACCAGGACTAGGAGAGCTAATCGCTATGGAGTTGGCCCCTAAAAACAGTGTGTGAGGGATTATGGGACTCTCACACTCAGTGAGTATTTGCTTTGTTTAGAAAGCCTGGGCAGAAACTCTGGTGGGTGGGTCATATGAGCAGGAGTATCTAGGAGTGATAATGTCCATAGTCAGAGGAGTGGTCCATCTAGATTGAAACAGAACCCAGGAAGTAGCTTGGAGTCTAAAAAGCCTAGTGCCAGGACTCGCGGGATGACATTTAGGGAAGGTCTTCATTCCAAGCAGGGCAAATGAGGTCCAATTCAGGAAAAGCAGGTAGAAGACTGTTGAAACACAAAAGGAAGAAGGGTGTCTGGAGAGTGGGGGGGAGGATAAACATCTGTAACAAAAATAAATTAATAAAAATTGGAAAAAAAACAAAAACACAAAAAGAATTTGAGAGGACAGTGCTCAGAGGCCTATAACTACCTCCCTATTTCAAAATTCCGCAATCTCCACCCCATCCCCTAACCAGGCTGTGTGTTCATGCAGATGCTAAGCAAGTTTAGATTCCACCACTACATTTCTGCCTTGCCTCCAGAGTAATGCAAAGCTTGTTGGTATTTGGTGTCTCCCCCAAGGTCCTCTGTCCATGGCAGTTTGTATATTCATTGAGCAGTTGTGTTGCCCTTGGAGCAAATTAGGTCCTTTCCCATCCACTGAATCCACTAGTCATATTCCAGCCATCATGGTCACATCACTCCAGCCCTGGCATGTGGGCACAGGGTCAGTGTTGTGATTACTACACCTTGAATGAACATGGCAGAGACACTTGGTTTTGAGGGAGTACCAGGGATCTTATAGACTAATTTGTTAAAGTCCCTGACTGTAATTTATAATAAGATTTGGGAAGATATCTACAAGTAAAAAGCAAGGTATAAGCTGTATTTGCTAAGAAAGCATAGTAAGAAAGAGTCAGAGCCCTGGCCGGTTTGGCTCAGCGGTTAGAGCGTCAGCCTGCGGTCCACAGAGATCCGGGTTCGGTTCCCGCTAAGGGCATGTACCTTGGCTGCAGTTTGTCCCCGGCCCTGGTTGGGTCGTGTGGGTGGCGGCCACTCGATGTGTCCCTTTCACATCGATGTTTCTCTCTCTTCCTCTCTCTCCTTCCCACTCTATCTGAGTAAAAAATGGAAACATGTCCTCAGGTGAGGATAAAAAAAAAAAAAAAAAGAGAGTCAGAGAAAAAGAACTCTGCTGCTTTCTAGCTAGTATTGATGAGAAAGGAAAACAGCCTCTAAACTACTTAAGTTTTGAAACAAACAAATCCTAGCACCCTAGAGTGATACTTTCAGCTCTTCATGGAACCTGAATCAGAAATATAAGCTCATCTTATATTTCTAAACTACTCACCAGTGAAACTTATTTTGAGTTTGTTCCTTCACTAGGAAAGGAAAGTTCTTTATGAACAAGGAATCTGAGTTCTCAGGAAGTATAGCTGTCATCCCTCTTCTGTAAGGCAAAACTCAAGAGGTAAAAATATTAGAAATGTGGAGGTAAATAGGAAAAATAAACCAAGTTGATACCGTTGTAATTAGCTAGTTATTGATAGTAGGAAAAGAGCAAAGAGGGAAGCCAGACATTATAAGCATGGCCATTTGGGTAGCTTCACCAGGAAGCTGCAATTTCACATTCCACAGGGAAACACCAGCCATTTCCTACAGAACACTGGGGGAAGGGGTTGAACAAAGGGGAGAGAGATGCATGCACAGCGATTTTGAGATGACATGGGAAGGTGCCTGTCAGTCACACCTGGGAACAGAGATCATTGGCCAGAATTGGTGTGGCTAATGCAAGCCCATGAAAGTTTGAGGATACGTAATTCCCCAAACAAAGGAGTTTGCTCTCTTGTGGCTTTCTCATTCCTGTTTCCCTGCATTCTCCCGTGTTTCCTCCATAGCTGTGTGGCCTTGTGGACCCCACACACAATGGACTGATGGACTGCAGCAAGGAACACAAATTAAACTAGCCTGATGCTGAATTGGACTGTCCCAACATGGAACAGAAACTCTAGACACTGTCTCTGATTTTAGCCCTGCTAAAGCTAAAGCTACACTTCTTCTATTGCATAACTGAGGGAGAGGGGATCTTGGGAATTCAAGGATGCAATTCCACAGAAATAAAAATCACTCATTTACCCATGCAAGTCTCTGAAAATTCTTGTTCTTGGGATATCATGAGAATTCCACTCCCACAAGCAATGGATGGGGACAAGGACACCCCCACCGCTGCCACTTCCACCAGTAACAAAGTCACGCTAGGATGATCACTAGTGCCAAGATTGGGCAGGGAGTAGGGCCAGGTCCTGCTTTGGCAGTAAGGGGTCATTGGACATCAGCATTAGTGTCACTGTAGCCCTGAGAGTTACTTTGTAGCATCATCAGTCACTTCTATGAGGAATGATCATGGTATAAAATCTATAAATAAGGAGTAGTGGAATGTGGTGTGCTATTTTTTTCTGACTACATTTGTAAATATTGAAATTTCTTTTAAATGTTTTCTAGATTTTTTTTCAAAGAAATTTAGTTACTCTGCAATTTTTAATACAAATAACATCTTCTTTGCTTCTTGCTTCCTGTATTTAGGAATTACCTCCCTATAATGGTTTTGGACCAGTTGAAGACTCTGCTCAGAACTGCTTTGCTCTGGTTCCAAAAGCTCCCAAAAAAGATGTTATTAAAATGCTGATGAATGATAACAAGGTGCTTCGTTATTTGGCTTCACTGGTGAGGATAATTTAATATACTAAGATTCTGTTCTGTCTCAGTACCATGCCTTCATGCAGCTTGGATGGCGTTAAATATGGTGCCCCTGAACCAAGACCTAACTCAAGTCCAAGCTGCCACAAAAATCTTTTAGATCATTAATCCTCTCCTCTACCCCTCAAATTTTGGCAGACCTTTTTGACCTTTTTTATTAAGTAGTTATGAAAGCCTGACTTATGTTCAATTTATTTATGTATCTGTGTGACTTTCCAGTGTGCTCTGATTTTCTTGAGGGTAGAGACCATGTCTTACTAATTTTTAGCATTACCTCTCATATATAGCTTGATATATTTTATATTCATTAGACACACTAAATGCAATCATTTATGACATCAGTTGAATAGATGTTGCCATTGAGAGGTCATGTGGCTAGTGGTTGAGAGCATAGGTCTGGAATCAGACATAAATTCAACCTCTGATTATTCCACTCATGGCCTGAATTACCTGAAGCAAATTACTGCTAGGAATTCAAAGGATAATGTCTTTAAAAATGAAAAAAAAAATGTGGAAAAAGGAACAAAAACAATTTATTGAGAACTATGAACATAAATAGCAGAAATTGGAATAAGTTACTTCCAGGACTGGTAATTGGGGGAGGGGGAGGTCAGGTGATTTTTCAAACCATAGGCAGACTTTGGAGATACTGTGGGTTCAGTTTCAGACCACTGCAATAGAGTGACCATTATAGTAAACTTAGTACGAATCAGTTTGCTTGTGGAAGGTCTTGCCTTCAAGTTGTAAAAAAAAATGTAACACCTGTGAAGTGCGATAAAGTGAAGCAGTAAAGCAAGGTGTGCCTGCATGTAGTACATGTACATAAAAAACAAAAATTAATGAAAACAGTCGACTAATATATTTTAGAAAAATGTTGAACAAAGCTTTATATATAAAAGGAGTTCTAGCAAATCCTATACCAACTAGAACCTCCATACCATCAGAATTCTGGTTAATGAAGGTTTTATATTATGATTAAATTCTTTCAGTTACCATTAAAATTCAATAGTCGTGTGGAAATTTGATGTGGTAACTATAAACTTCCTAGACTTTGTAGGTTCTCATTAACTGTTGAATGAATGGGTAAATGAATTTATTTACACATACACTATCCATGAATTAGGAAATATAATATTATATTCATTTTATGCTTCAAAACAATAATCAGAGAAGCTAATTGGCTTGTCCCAGATCTCAATGCTGCTTAGGCAGAAGCGGAACTAGAAATCAACTTTCTGACTTTTGACCCACCATTCTTTCTCTTCTTCTTCTTCTTCTTCTTCTTTTTTCAAATTTAAAGAGTATATTTTTATTTTACAGTATAAATAATTTGGAAATATGACAGTACAATCCATATAAGCAGTTTTAATACTGCCATCTTATATGTGTGAGAGAAAGTAGAGAAAAGGGTATCACAGGTACTTTTCCTACGGAGAAATAGTCACCAAAGCCCTCAATAGGTGACATGAGGAGTCACCACGAGGAAGGGAGTTGGAAAAGTTTTACTCCTGCAGCTATGAGAATCCTCAACCCAGCATTCTTTTGATCAAGAACCAGTATAGTGCTCAGACTATGAAAAGGGAGATGGACGCACATCAATTTGTAAACTACATAATTGAAAATTACTTTCTCTACCTAAAAATCCTGGGAAAATTACATAATTGATTATAAAAATTGCATTGAATAATGTCAGATATTGCTAAGTGAGAAGAAAGAATACATTTACAGAGTGGGGCAAAAGGAGGTTTACAGGTATGAGTACACAAAACAGAGTTTATTCTTATATTCTTATTTATTAGTGTATTATATACAAGCAACTGTAAACCTACTTTTGCCCCACACCATATATTGACTGCAGTCTTCTGTACTCACAAATAACCCAGGCAAATTTGATATATCACGGAAGGTTGAAGAATAGATCATTTGGATCAGTCCTCTTGCTCAGGACAACTAGAAAAACTGGGGGGGGGGGGGTGAGTGTGTGTGTGTGTGTGTGTTTACTACTGCTTGAGGGTGCTGAACAACTAACAAGATATGAAGAAACACTGAACAAGGACCAGGAGAATATTGAAAACCAAGAGGTGAGCCTGGCGAATGGGGCAATATTTCCTCTGGGAAAGTTTGCTGATTCCAGAAGAAACACCTGTGAGAGCAAACTTTGGACTCTAGGACCTATCAAAGACAGAAGCACCTTGTAAACTTTCTGTGTGAATCCTTGAAGAGATTATTTTTTGGCTTGGAATTATCTTCATTTTAAAAATCATATTAAGGTGATCCTGGATTACTAATGTCCCGAGTTGTCTGGCAGGAGCAAATGCAAATGCTCTGAAGATACATCATTGTAGGCTTCAAATTATTTCTGTGAACAATTTAATACAATGTCCAGCACTCATTAAAAAAATATGACGAATACAATGTCTAGACAAAAGGCAAGATGATATGAAGGAAAATGAGCAGAAACAACAGATAATAGAAATAGACCCATAGAGACTTCAAATACTAGTGTTATCAAACTTGAAAAACATCTATATTTAACTATGTTTAAGGAGATAAATGATAAGATTGAGAATTTCAGAAGAAAACTAGAAACAAAACAAAGTTTTTCAGTTTTGCTAATTTATCACAGTAATAGAATAAAAGAAAAAATTAGATGCAGAGAAATACTTGATAAATATTGTGAGTTTAAAACAGAACTCTTAGTAAACAGAGGATAAAAGGGAATTTTCCTAGTCTGATAAAGGATAACTACCACAAATCTACTGCAAACAGCATACTTAGTGATGAAATGCTGAGAATGAACTCTCTGCGATTAGGAACAAGGCAAGACTATTCTATCACCTTTTGTTCAACATGGTACTGAAGGCCCCTGCAGTAAAATTACAAGGAAAATAAAAGGTACAGGGATTGAAAAGGAAGAAATAAAACTGTCATTACCTAAAATGAATGATCGTGTATGTAGAAAATGAAAACCAACAAAAAATAAATTAGAAAAATGGCATTTACCATAGCATCAAAAAATATTAAATTCTTAGGAATAAATTAAACAAAAAGTAGATAGTGTCTAAAACATTATTGAGAGAAAATTAAAGAAGACCCAAACAAATGAAAGTACATACTATGTTCAGTGGTTAGAAAATTTAGTACTATAAAGATATTTGCCCAAAATTGATATATGGTTTCAAAGCAATTACAGTCAAAATCCCAAGGAGTTTTTATTTTTGAATATTGACAAACTGATTCTATAATTTATGTGGAGATGTAAAGCACTTCCAAGAATAGCCGAGACATTCCTGGAGAAGAAAATTGGTGGATTTGCTTAACAAAATATCACAATATATTAAAAAGTCAGATAAAATAAGACAATAGAATATTTGTGCAAAGATAGATAATTAAGCCAATGGAATAGATTAGATAGCCCAGAAACAGACCCACACACACTTAATATATGTAACTAATATGGCACTGCTGAGGTATTGGGAAAGGAAGTTCTTTTTTTAAATTTTTTTTATCCTCACCGAGGATATTTTTCCATTTTTTGTACAGATAGAGTGGGAGGGAGAGAGAGAGAGAAACATCGACGTGAAGGGACACATCGAGTGGCTGCCACCCGCATGACCAACCAGGGCCGGGGACAAACTGCACCCAAAGTACGTGCCCCTAGTGGGAACCGAACCCGGGTCTCTCCGGACCGCAGGCCAACGCTCTAACCGCTGAGCCAAACTGGCCAGGGCGGAAGTTCTTTTTAATAAGTTATATCAGAACAATTAGATATCCATATGGGGGAAAAAAGAAAATATTACTCTACCTCACTCTAAATATGGAAATCAATTCTGGGTGAAATGAAATGAAGACTTAAATGTGAAAGGCAATGCAATCAAATTTTTTAGTAATATGATTTTAACCTTGTAATAGGGAAAGATTTCTTTAGCAGTATACAAAAAGAAGTAATTGTTTCAAAAACTGATAAGTTTGACTACTTTAAAATGGAGAGTTTATGTTCCTCAAAACAAACAAACAAACAAGCAAACAAACCAAAATAACACCAATAAGAGTAAGAAAAAAAAAAAAAAGGTAGGATAGAATGGGAGAAGATCTTATTACAGAAATCAACCACGACCTCATATCCAGAATACCTAAAGAACACTCAAATCATTTTTAAAAATAAGCAAGAAACTTTAACAGGCATTTTACAATAGAGGATATCCAGAAGGCCAATAGACATATGAAAAGGTGCTCAGCCCTTTTAGTGATCAGGGAAATACAAATTATAACCATGATGAATTGCTCTCACCTACCAGGATGAGTACTATGCTGGTTAGAATATGGCACAATAGGAAATCTCATATTGTCAGTGACACACTCACTTAGGAAAATAGTTTGTTATAATCAAATATACCAGGTTGTGCCAAAATAGTATACATACGTGCACTAAGAGATAAGAATGTTCATAACAGCATAACCCATGATAGCTAAAAATAAACCCAGACATCCATCTATAGGAAACTGGATAAATAAATTGTGGCATATTTATACAATGATTTGATTTCTGTTCAGCAATGAAAATTAATGAACTATAGCTACAAATAACAAGGATAAGTCACATAAACATAACTTTGAATGTAAGAATTCAGACACAAAAGAATATATAAAGGTTATGTCATTTCATTTATATGAAGATTAAAAACTAACAGGCAGCCCTGGCCGGTTTGGCTCAGCGGTTAGAGCATCCGCCTGCGGTCCGGAGAGACCCGGGTTCGGTTCCCGCTAGGGGCACATACCTCGGTTGCAGTTTGTCCCCGGCCCTGGTTGGTCGTGCGGGTGGCAGCCACTCGATGTGTCCCTTTCACATCGATGTTTCCCTCTCTCTCTCTCTTCCTCTCTCTCCCTCCCACTCTATCTGTGCAAAAAGTGGAAAAATGTCCTCGGGTGAGGATTAAAAAAAAAAACTAACAGGCAAAACAAAACTATTCTGGGATGCCTGCTTTGTAGTAAAACTAAGGAAAACTGTAAAACCAGATAGTGGCTTTTTGGGTGGGGGAGGGATAGGATACTGATTGGGAGGGCACGTTCTAGATTCTGTCAATGCTGTTTCTTGACCTGCTTGGTGGTTACATGGGTGTTCACTTTATGAAAAAATTTTGAACTGTACATTTGTTTTTTTTGTTCTCTGTGTGTTAGAATTCACAGTAAAAAATCAGTTCAAAGAACACCAACAGGACCATTAACAAAGAACTAGTGTGTATCTTCCTATGGACTAGAAAGAAAGAAGTGATATTCTGGTCATAATAATTTTCAAAGGTTTTCCCTTGCCTGTTTAGTAAAGCAAAGGGTATATTCATTCAGCTAATCACACACGCTGGGAAAGATGAACTCCCCTACTCCCCATTGGTATGCCCCTGCCTGTAGCCCTGCTTGGAACTTTGTATTTTATTCTAAGTGTGATGGGAATTCTCTGGAGGTTTGAGAACAGAGGAGTGATGTGGTTTGATTTTTATTAACTATATTATGGATTTTTTTTTAATTATAGGGGTGTTCAATCAAAAAAGTTTGGAGACTATTAGATTAGGGGATGGTATGAGGGCATTATTTTACCAATGTCTTTCTTCAATAAATGAGAAATTTTTACAGAAATAATTCCATGGTCTGAATGAGAAGATAGGTGCTCAAGCTGCAGTATGAGATTTTAGTCAAGAATAAGCATGTCTGTATTTAAGCGTGTTCCATGTGGAATTTGTTGCTTAAGGGTTATGTGATCACTCAGCAATTTCCTTTAGGAAAAGTCTTGTCTAGAAGATAGTTTCTCAGAACCACTTGCAACCCTGGGATTCCTCCCTTCTTAAATTTTCTTTTTAAAATTATGTGTATCAATGAATTTGTTTAAAGAACTAAACTGCCCAATCATCTTAGCATGCACGAGGTTGAACATAACGTGAGCCAGGAGGTTTCAGATTGGCATCCTGTGGGCAGAATGTAGAAACGTAGGTGCTCCATGGGCCTGCATAGTGCTTTCAAAGAGTTAAGCCAACGTTTTCAAGTCAGGGCTTTGTACAGCACTCTAGATTTCTATCTTCTCATGCAGAATAGGAGGCTCTTTCGACATTGGGCCTACATTCCCACAAAGCAACAATCAAGTGGAGTTGAGTTGGGGCAGGTTTCAGGCCATCAGAGTCCCCTCGCACTGTTCATTTATATTATACTTTATGTAGTAGATTTACATTATATACCTGATCCCTGTAGGTATTTAATTTGGGGGCATCTGGATAGTTCATGTACCTTCATAATATCCCCCCCCCCAACTTTTCTAGGAATCCCCCTACCCAGAAGACAAAGACCGCCGATTTGTCTTCTCGTATTTTCTAGCCACTGACATGATCAGTATCTTTGAGCCTCCTGTCCGCAATTCTGGTATCATTGGGGGCAAGTTCCTTGGCAGAACAAAAGTGGTCAAACCACACTCTTCGGTGGAAAACCCCGTCTACTATGGCCCCAGTGACTTCTTCATTGGCGCTGTGATTGAAGGTAGGTCTAAACACAGTTTAGGCTTTCTGACTAGGCAAGTGAATTTTATGTGGTTAACCTTTGTTAAGAGGCAGTTAGGCTGTATTCCAGCAGAGACAAAACTAATATTCTTACATATGTGGTCCAGTATCTTAATCTCCTTCCTTATCAATTAAACTGTAAGTTGGTTGCCTTTTTTTTTTTTTTTGGCTATAAATATAGACCCCGAGCTTCCTACCACCAGCAAACGACTGCATATAAATTTAGAGAGCTGTTGAAAGTTCATTAGTCTAGGTCACACATGCATGTCTGTGAACTTCCAATTGGAAGATCAGTATTATTTTACTCCTGATTGCATGATCAAAACATAACCAAGGAAGCCTGGCTGGTGTGGCTCAGTGGATTGAGCTGCATCCCATGGACTGAGAGGTCCCGGTTCGATTCTCAGTCAGGGCACATGCCCGGGTTGCAGGCTCGATCCCCAGTAGTGGGCGTGCAGGAAGCAGCCCATTGATATTTCTCACATCGATGTTTCTATCTCTCTCTCCTTTACTCTCTAAAATATCAGTACAAACAAACAAACAAACAAAAACATACCCAAGGTAAGTGTATTTCTGCCTTTTCCCCAGTGTTTGGCCACCGGTTCATCATCCGTGATACAGACAACTATGTCTTGAAATATATGGAGAGCAATGCTGCCCAGTACTCACCAGAAGCACTCTTATCGATTCAGAACCATATTCGGAAGCGTGAAGCTCCTGCACCAGAACTGGAAAAGTACGTTTGACTGTCCAGGGAGCGTTCTGGCTTTGGTACCTATGAGATCTTCGGGAAAAAGTTCTTGATAAATTGAATGGGCAATCCCATTTTAGATTTCCAGGTTTCCCTCACCAAGTAGGAGTTATTAGTCACATGCAGAAGGTTTTCTGGGTCCAGTATTACAAGTAGAAACTTAGAACATTTTCAATTTGATTTATTTCGCAAATAATTATTGAATGCGTACTATGGGTCAAATACTATCACTAGGCCCTTGGGCTTTTTTAATAAACAAAATAGAAAAGGAGTTGCTTCCTTCATGGAGTTAACATTCTAAGCAGTGGCAGATAGCCCGTCAACAACACAAGTAAATTATACAGTATATTAGGTGATGAGTGGTATGGAAAGTGGAGCAACATTAGGGCGAGAAGGGTTTCTGGAGGGTGAGGGTGGATGCAATTGACTGGGGGAGGTGACACCTCGATAAAGTGACTGGAAGGTAGAGTTAGCCATGTGGCTTTCTGGAGGCAGAGCTTCCCAGGAGGGACGCTGAGCCCTGCGCAGCAGCACGCCCAGACTGCTCAGCCGGCACTGGCGAGCAGCAGGCCAGCGATAGGTGGGATGGAGTGAGTGAGAGGCAGAGGAGTGGAAGGTGCAGTTAGAAAATTAACAAGGGGCCAGATCACGTAGGACCTACTAGGTCTTTGGAAAGATGTTGGCTTTTCTCTGAGTGAAAGGGAGGATCATTGTGGGGTTCAGAGTAAAAGTGGCAAAATTTGACATATGTTTTAAAGGGCTATTGTGTTATGAGTAGATTAGGAGAGAAATTAGTTAGGAGAATATTGCTGTAACCCAGGCAAGAGATAATGGTGCATGGACCAGGGTAGCATCAGTGAAGATGGGGAGAAGTGGTCTGATTTTGGATATATTTTGAAGGTAGATTATATAGGGGATATAAGAGAGAGAATAGTTCAGGATAACTGCAAGGTTTGGGGCCTGAACAACCAGAAGGAAGGAGTTGCCATCATCTGAGATGGGGAAGATGTTCATTTGGGGTAGAGGAGGGTCTTTTTGGGAGGGGAGGATTTATTTTGGTTTGGATGTACTAGGTTTACGGTAGCTATTGGATATCCAAGTAGAGGCATCAAACAGGCAGTTGTATGTATACATCTGGAGTTCAGGCAAGAGGTCTGAGCTGGAGGTGAAAATGTGGGAGCTGTTGGCATATTTTCAACATGCCAACATGAGCCTGGGTGAAATCTTTAAGATTTAGAGAAAAGAAGAGCCCCAAGGATTGCTCTCTGGGGTCCTCCAACACTCAGAGTTGGGAAGAGGAACCTGAGCAGGACAGCTAGAGAGGCAAGAAGAAACCCAAGTGAGTGTGGTATCCTGGAAACCAAGTAAGGAGAGTGTAGTGTTCCCTTTGCACAGAAGTGTAGGCCTATAAAAATGGCCATGCAAGCAATCTTAATCAATGGGAAATTTGCTACTGTTCTGTGACCCTTAAAAATTATTGTATAAATGTGCAAAACTCAGGTGGTTATAAATATATAGGGACATGAAAAAATAGTAAAATTTTCATTGCGTACTCTGTAATTTAAAACACTAAGAATTCAAGTGTTTTATTCCTTTGTAAAAAAAAAAACGAACAAAAAAAACTTATCAAGAGTAGTTTGAACAGTGCTTGCCTTTCTCTCATCGCATAACTTACGGTACACAGCGAACATCTTTTCCATGCCTTGGCAAATTGTCACATACCTTTTGAAGTTGGGATCAGCTTCCAACATTTTATTGTGTTTGCTTTCGGTGTTGTGAGATATCTCCTAGAGTTTCTTTACTGACAGTGAACTATCTCTGAGAGTTCTTTTAACGTGCAGTTTTTTGCTAGCATCTGGGATATGTCATGTCCTTCCTTTTCATTACAGTCACATTCCTTACTTACGCCGATAAATTGGCCTTCACTAAGTTCCTCTGGCTATGCAGTGAGAGTCACTCAAAGGACAGCAGTATTAGCACCTCCACGGTAGCTTTTTCCTCTCTAACTCCATTGTGTTGGGTTTGAACTGTGCTTCCAGCATCATCTCATTTTACTTCTTTACTGCACTTTCGTCTTTGCTGGGCAGGTCTCTCTCTTGTCAAACATCGCGTGGGCTTCTCACTGAGAGACCAAGAGGCAACTTATCTGCATACTTGCTAAGTGTGAACTGCAAAACAGATGCCCATTGACCAATCACCAACAGACTTTGAAAGAAGTGACATGATCGTCACTGACCGTGCTATGCATCTGCTATTTCTGTAGTGGTTTAGTGGACTGAAAACCTGACAGTGAATTTGCTCTATTCTATTGACTATATAAATAAAATAAATGCATATAAAAAGAAAATGTAAACATATTGCATTATTTTATCTACTAAGAAAGAAAAAAACTGTCAATTATAACTGCAATTCACCATCAGTTAAAGAAGGCATGCTGAATTCAGAGATGTAAAAAAATATTTCAAAAAATGTTTCAAGACTGATGAGAGATAGCAGCTATCTAGGAAAGTGTGGGCAGTGAGTGGGCTAGAGAAACATAGTTTGGTGGTGATGAGCATTAAGGGCTGGGTTGAAATTCATGGTCATACATTTCATTCAAGTATTTCTCAGAAGTTTTTTCTGTAATATGTTCATGTCTCTGCAAGTACCAGCAAGGCCGGAACGCTTCTAGCTTTGGCATTCTTCCAGCAGAATACTCTTTTATGTTTTACTTCTCTGATTTAGTAATGATAAAAAGATGGTGCTCACATTGTAAATGAGATACCAATACAAGTGAAGAGAAATTCAAGTTCTGGGTTAAGAAATCCATTGCTATCCTCACTTTGATCCTCATCTTCTCACCTCCTCCTGTGATACGTCAGGTGGAGGAGAGAGAAGAGATGCTTGGAGTCCAAGTGTCGGGCCTTCCATGTCTTCCAGCCATTCTTTGCCTTCTAACTCCTCTCATCTGGCAACGAATCCTTCCGCTCTAAGGAAAAACAAATCCTTTATTTGACTAATCATTGCTAAGAGTAATTAAAGGAAGATTTCCAAGTACTTGTCAAGCCTAAGTACTTTTCAGAGCAAGTGCCAGTTATAGGATGGTGAACTTTGGAGTTAGCTATTTTCTTTTTCTAAGCCACGAAATTAAAGCAGTGCATCGATAATTGAGTATTGACTTCATCTGAAGTTCTTTTTGGGTTTGGATTCCTCATTGCAATATATTGAACTGAGACTTACAGATAATAAATGCCCACTAACCCCTCTATAGGGAATCTACATGTGTGAATAGCATAAAAACACACATGTTCATATATAGTATTCTTGTTCTGTTACATGCCCATTCGTGCTCTTCAGCTTCAAGAACCCCCCGCCCCCAACCCCCCAAGGATCCTTTTAATCTCCCTTTTTTTTTAAATCCTCACCCTAGGACATTTTTTTGCATTTATCTTCAGATAGAGAGGGAGGAAGAGAGAGAGAGAAACATCAATATGAGAGAGACACATCTAGTAGTTGCCACCCACATGACCCGAACTGGAGCCGGGGACAAACTGCAACCGAGGTACATACCCTTAGTGGGAACCAAACCCAGAACTCTCTGGTCCATGGGCCGATGCTCTAACCACTGAGCCAAATCAGCCAGGGCTCAAGGATCCTTTTATTGTCGTCCCTCGCCACTTTGCGCTTTGACTTTCGCAGCTTCGACTTTCGCAGCTTCACTCTATTGCGGTTTTTTCAAATATATTCATTAAAAAGTTGATTGAGACAGTGAAAATGATACAGTGCGTGCTCAGTTGTCTGAGTCAATTATACACTCCTGTATTACAATTAAAATTAAAATTACGGCCCTGGCCAGTTTTGCTCAGTGGTTAGAGCGTTGGCCTGCGGTCTGGAGAGACCCGGGTTTGGTTCCCGTTAAGGGCACGTACCTCGGTTGCAGTTTGTCTCTGGCCCTGGTTGGGTCGTGTGGGTGGCAGCCACTCGATGTGTTTCTTTCACATCGATGTTTCTTTCTCTCTCTCTCTCTCTCTCTCTCTCTCTCTCTCTCTCCCTCCCTCCCACTCTATCTGAACAAAATATCAAAAAATGTCCTCGGGTGAGGATTAAAAAAAAAAAATTTACATATGGATTGTAGGCCTCTGTATTCGAGCACCCCAGGAATCCTTCAATGCCAGGTGCAACCGCTAGAGTCTAGCACTGATTAACCATGATAAACAAGGGATGACTGTAATCCTCTCTTTTTCACTTCCAGCTACTCTCACACGTAGACATTTCCAAATATTCTGTTTTCTTTGCCCATTTTCTTTAAGGCCCAAACTCTTCCACACTCACTTTGCAGTTGGTCTCACCATGAGGACAAATGGTCGAACGTGAGCTTCTTCAGTGTTCCCACTCTTCACATCAATGTTTTGTATAAGCTCTCATTTTCTCTTTAGCTTGTTGTCAAAGGTAAGTAGCTCCCATTTCTCCAAATATAATCCTTCTGTTTTATGTTTGCAACTGCCTCCTTTCTGACCGCTCCTTGTAACTCTTCCTAAATTGCTTTCTTGAACGTTATTGTTTCAAAATCTAATGGTCTCTTGTCTTTTACTCATTAATTCAGCAGCTATTTGAGTTTGCACCATCTGCCAGACCTTCCTAAATGCTTAGGCAAATATAGGGGTGAATAGGGAGCTCATAGTCTAGGACAAGAGTTGGCAAACTTTTTTTATAAAGAAGTAGGTAGTAAACAACTTAAGTTTTGTGGGCTGTACCGGCTCTGTTGTAACTATTCAACTCTGCTTTGTAGGGTGAAAGCAGTCACAGACAAATACAAATGAATGGGTATGGCTGTATTATAATTAAACTGTATTTAGAAAAACGGGCAACAGGCTGGCTTTGACCTGTGGGCTGTGGTTTGCCAACTTCCTGTGTTTTTAGTCTTTTTCATCTACATATATATTACTCTTTACCACTTCGTTTTTGAAACCCTCTCTCCTGAGTTCTAATAAGTCAGAGCCTCTGTC